TTTTTTTTTTATTTTTGAAAAAAGGCCCTAGATTATCTCATAATTTTCAAATAAAATAGTGAAATTTTTATTTCAGCTAGCTTATCAGTTAATTTTATCTAACACTTTAATCATTCAAGCTAGTTTTTCAGCTATAAGTGATAAACTATCAGTATAAACTTGAAATGCACTTAGAAATTATAAGGTATCTTATCAACTATAAACTAATTTATCAAGCTAGATTTACCAAATATAATCTTATATTATATATTGCAAAAAATACACGTTGTCTACCTGGGTTGATCCCATCAGTGTTTGGTGAGTCATAGGGGGCAGAGATCGTAAGATTTTCAATTATGATCTTTCTACAAAACAATAAAACTTAAAAAAATTAAAAAAAACATCAAATAATGTCATCAAAATTTTATAAAAACAACGAGCAGTTTAGCTGAAGTTGAGAAAAATGACCCTACTTGCTGTAGACGGGATGAACGTTCCAGGTAGGAGCGTCGATGAGGGTAAGATTGGTAATTACCACCTTGGTTGAGTACATGATCTCAACCAAGTATGGCCTTGTGTTCTTAAGCTTGTTATCCTTGAATTTTTTCCACCATGGCTGGCCTTGGCCATTTATTGTTCCATTCCCTCCTGAAAAATATAAATAAATAAATTTTTATTCCCTTTTTGCATAATTATATGTTTTGTATGTTGGAAAAATTCTTGTATTTAATTGACCATAAATGGGCAAACTTAACCAAATTTTAGTTACCTGTTATTACGACATCAGTTAAGTTTGTTCCAAATATGAGACTGGCAAACCTTTGTCCTGGAGCATCCCTTCCTCTTCCATATGAGGGCAATGGGTCAATTAGAGGATAATCTTTTTCATCCTATCAAATCCATAATATCATGTTGCACAATCTTTTCTTACAAATTAATTGAAATAAAGAAAGACCTAATGAATGAAAAAATATAGTTGCATATGTACCAAATTAAAGTAAATGATGTTTCATGTCTTTACACTTGGACAGAAAAAAAATAAAAATAAAAATAAAAATAAGAAGATATGGAAGTGAACATATGCTCAATAATTAGTGGAATAAGAGCACAACATGAGATGCAAGAAAAACAATATTGTGGTGAATATACAACATGAAATGACGTGAGAATGAACAAAAGTGAACGTATGCATTTAGTTTAGGGAAAAAGAATACACCAGAGATGCAAGAAGAACAACACAATTGGAATTGCATTGTGCCTCGGTGGCGCTGGCTCCAAATTTCTTCAACATAGGGCATTTTCATGATTCGTCCACATGTTGAAAAATACATATTGGTTATGGAAAAAAGAGTACAACCTGAGATGCAAGAAGAACAGCATCGTGGTGAATGTAGAGCGTGAAGTAACTTGTGAGATTGAACGACCCCGTCAGCCATTTTCCTGGCGGGACCACAAGCATTGCTCCTCCGCCATTCAATCCGTAGGTGCTCAAATCGGCAATGGCCTTCTTAAATGCCGCCGTGTTTAATGTCTTCCCATCACCTTTCCCACCGTAATCGGTCAACAGAGCAACTTTTTTTCGACACTTTAGACCCGAGTATTGGATTTGTTGCTTGGTAGGCTTGGGGTCGGCATCATGTTTCTTGCATTCCAACGCGTTCAAGTATAGAACTGCCATAAACAAACATGTCATAAACCTCTTCATAATCTTAAAAGTGAAAATTGAAGATCAAGTTTAATCAACAAAAGCATAGGAAATATGAATAAAATGTGTTTAGGTTGATGAAATTTATAGAGAGATAATTTCGTATCAAATTTCAATACATGTATGCAACCAATCAATCATGAATTCAAAGAAAAACCTTGCAGCTATCAACGTCGCACAAAAATATGCACACATAGAGCATGTTTGCATACAAAAATTTTCACCCAAGTAAATTTTGTTAGGTTAATTAAAGTTAATTTAGAAAAAGATAGTTTAGCTAGTTGTTAATAGAATTTTTTATTTATATTAAAATATTATTTAAAATAAAATAATCAAAATTGATTTGGTGTAAATGTAAGAGAAAGATGCTATGAAATGATGATTAATTAAAATTATATGAGTGGATAAATAGTGAATTAAAGAAGATGTGATGAGTGAGAATGATTAAATGGTAAATATTATCATGAGATACATACACAAAACATTTAATTTTGTTATTTTTATGTATATTTATATAACAAAAATACTCTATATATAATTTTAAAAATTTTAAAATTAATATCCTGTTCAGCATTTGACCCAGTGACCAGACGGTTGAACCGGTGACCCGATGACATGTAGACCTGCTCGGGTCGATTACCAGGCCTGGCTTAAAAACTATGAGCCTATATATCTATTTACTAAAAATGACAAAAGGAGTTGAATTCGGATATGCTAATAATATGTGTCGTTTCGAAAAAAACAAAAAATAAAATAAAAATAAAAAGAAATCATGCGAGGACGGTTAAAGTAAATCGCCATGATTTCAAGTTTCATGCCAATTAATCTTTCTTAGGGTAATCAAGTAAAGTTGCCTCTGTACTACTTTAATTCTACGTATTGATTAAACGATTTGTCTTCTTTTGGGTTTTTTTTTTTGTGGTCGTTTACCTATTGATTAAACAATATTCTCAAGGAAGATTTACCAAAAGGAACAAAATCTTGGATAACATTAAAGTATTAAGACATTTCAATCACAAAACTTAAACATAATACTATTGAACTCGGGCAAAACATTATTTCAAATTGTACTATATATATTTTTTGCAACTTATATATATACATATATTGGTGAAATACAACTTAATCTCACTAACATATATTGGTAGGGTGCAATCTGTGACCATACATTCAGCTGCAAACACACACAGTGTATAGCTAGTGACGTTGAGCAACTTATGAATGTTCGTAAAGTTCGAGTTGCATCTTTAACACGAAATAGGACTTACACGAAATAGCTAGGCTACAAAGTCCCAGAACATACGTATAATACAAATTGTAGAAAATGTTTTAGTTTTTACACTTGAATGAAAGCACCAATCACATTTACTAGTAAACATTCGTATAATCCAAGTTTTTATTTTCAAAATTTAAATAGTTTTTTGAAAATTTTAATTATCAATTTTTATCTAAATAGTAACTTGTATATTTTGCTTATTTAGGACTTGCGATGTATATAGTAATTAAGTTGGAGGTAATGGGTCTAAGAGAATGTGTGGACTACCTAGTCCTTGTCTAGGTTTATTAGTTATTGACGCTTATAATAATAATAATATTGCAATGTTTTCACCTTGGTTGTTGAATTTTAAGTTGTATTGATTTTACAAAAGATCATGACAATATTATATAAACTTATATTTGATATCCCTTACTCAATTAAAATTTTAAAAGGTCTTACAAAATTTTGAGTTATTTAATTTAAGGTTTATTCAATTTGGATTTCTAAGAGAATGCTTGGATACAAATTTTTAAAAAAATTCCAATCATTTTTAATCAATCACTTTTTAAAAACTCAAGTTTAACTCTAACTCAACCTCACTATTTTCAGTATTACCAATATAATTAAACAATATCAATCAATCATCTTTACATATTACATCAACTTTAATTCACTATTCATCAACTCACATAATTATAACTAATCATCACTCATATCATCTTTCTCATACATTTAAATCAAATCAGCTTTAATTAGTTTATTTTAAATGTTATTTTAATATAAACTCAATATCTCACTAACAACTAATTGTATCACCTTTTTAAAACTAACCATGTCAAATCAAAAATAAAAATATTTTATGTCCAAGCATCTCCTAAGACTTTTTAATACTTCAGAAATCCTGGTGTATTTAATTTATATTTCTCACGACTTTTAAAAGTCTTGAGGTATTCATTTGGTATTTTAAAGAGTTCTACAAAATCCAGAGATACATTTAACTTATTTGAAACTATGATTTATTAAGACGTTTTAAGATTATTTGAGATTCTTTAAAGAAAAAAATATACGAAATCTCACTCTAAATCCCATCTCTAGATATAAGATTTCACAAGATTGCTCTAGAATTCGAAAATCTTAAAAAATTTCAAATCTCAAAAGTCTCTATATGTCACTCGAGATGCGAAAAGAATACACCCTCCTTATTTGAAGTAAGAAATTCCGCATATTTTGACCAATTCAAGGTGAAAAATGGGTTGCTCCCTCGGCAAAGCTTGGATAAAGTTGAGCTACAAGATCGCGAATCAAGATAAATTCATGAGGGAGGAGATAGGAATTTGCTAAGACTTCTTAAGATTTGTTGGGAATTCAGAAGAAAATAGCTTATACAAAATCTCACTCGAAATATTACCTCCAGACTTACTATTTCATAAAATTCCTCCAAAATTTGAAAATCTCAAAAAATCTCGACTTTCAAAAAGTCTCAAAATGTCACTTAAAATTTCAAACAAATAACCCTTATTTTTTTTTTTCTTAATTAATACTGAATATTAAGCTGTGTTGAGTTTTCGAAAAATCATGACAATACTATATATATTCGATACTCCAAAAAACGGATAAGCTATTAGAGCAAATTGCTTGTGTCTTGAGGCCAATAGGCCATTCACACAAACAAACAAATCAATCACTTTGCAAGACAAAATTAACTATTGCTTATTATTGCCAAACAGTCATTCAGTACAGCTTAATTAGGACATGAAAAAAAGAGGTTAAAAAACCACCCTCGACAAAATACTAAAACCCCCAAACTATATAAAGAACCTCATGACAATCACTCAAAAACTAACCGAGCACGTTTTCAACACGACCGTATCAATTGCCAACGTATCTCCCGGGAAGGCGCAATCCACTTGCTTCTCGGGCAACAAATCACAAGCCTTTGGAGTCACCCGGCTCGACACTCCACTAACATCGGTACAATTCCACGGGAGCTTCGACTTGGGCTTCTTCTTCTTCTTCTTGTCCCCCTTCACGAACAAGTCGTAGATCGACTGGTACTCTTTCTCCTCCTTCTCCTCCTCCTTCTGCATCGCAAGCTCAGCAGTCACGTTCGAAATGCAAATCCCCGTGAATGGGTCCTCCTTGATTCCCGAAAGGTACCCCACGAAGGTCACGTTCTTCGCAACCACGTCCCGGAAGTTAATGTTTCTAATCTCGGGTAAGGCCTTGGGGTCGTAGCCATCGTCCGGGTGGGACCCGTACGAGCCCGTCGTCCAGAAGATGTACTTGATCGTCTCGAAGGAGAAGTCGCGCACGTACACGTCTCTGACGTAGGCCCCTCGCCCAGGGGCGGTCTTGATCCGCACACCCGATTGGGAGTTGAGGGCGTAGATTTGTTCGGCACGGACGTCTTGGATGCCGCCCGACATTTCGCTTCCGAGGGCTATGACGGCCGAGTCAGGGGAGATGCACGTGAACCGCTTGATGCTCAGGTGTTGGGTGGGCCGGCCGAACTTTATGCCGTATTGGTCCCACCCGCTCTTGACCGCGATGCAGTCATCACCGGACACGACATACGAGTCACGAATGCGCGTGTTGATGCAGGAATCTGTTTTGAACGTAAACAAAAGTGTAACATTTGATAATACAATGTACTTTTGGTAATACAATGTGCTTATGCAAAAATCTGTTTAACATAAGCTAAACAAAAGTGTAATATTTGATAATACAATTATGTATTTTGTTCATATAGTTTGGCAAGATAATGATTACCTGGATTGATCCCATCAGTGTTTGGGGAATCAATGGGTGCAAGAATTGTGATGTATTCAACAATGACATCCCTACACAAATTTTGCACGTGGAAAATGTTAGAAAGAATTACAGTATGAAATTTTACAAACATCATGGGGGCTTAATATTAGAAATCAAAATTATGTATAATAAAAATACAGCAAAAATTCAATTTTAGTCCGTTTACTTGTCTAAAATTTATTTTTAATACACCAATTTTTCTCTCATCAGTAATAGTACGTTATGGTGCAATTTGTATCACTATTGGGACATTATATATCCCAAAAATGATTCATTATTTTTTGGGATTAATGTCCTAAAAATGAGACAAATTGCAATATAACGTATTGTCCTTTTATGAGTAATGTCCCAAAAGTGATACAAATTGAAACATAACATACTACTATTGATGAGAGGAAAGTTGGTATACCAAAAATAGACTTTAGACGAGTAAACAGACTAAAATTGAAATTTTTTCCGTAAAAATACCTGCAGTAAGTGGGGTGTACATGCCATGAAGGAGAGTTGATGAGGGTAAGATTGGAAATTTGGACCTGATTTGAGAATAATAGCTCAATTAAGTATGGTCGTGTGTTGTTAAGCTGACCAGCCTTGAATTTTTTCCACCATGTTTCTCCTTGCCCATCAATCGTGCCATTTCCTCCTATAAATGATAAAACGTAATAAACATTAATTTTCTAATTGAGATTCATTTCACTCTATATGTGAACAGATTTTTCTAATTAACGTTCGCCTAAGTAGGCTCCCCTTATTGAACATGTTTAATTAACAAGCTGAGCTCGACCAATTCAAGAGAATAGGTTCCTTTTTTTTCTTAATATAGGCTCGAATGCGAGTTTAATTATCAATAGTTCGAGCTCGACTTGTCTGAATGTTGCAAATATCAATTTCTACCGCATAACATTACAATCAAGATATAATAATATTCTTAATAAAAAACACGATACAAGATTTTATAAATGGGCTTGGAATAGTAGAACATAAACAGCTTCTGTGGATCCAAAAACGCCTCCAAACCCACACACAAGGCCCATTTTTAATATTAACCGAACTCACTGTAACCCCTAGGGGTGGGCACGGTTCGGTTAACCGAACTTTTTGAGGTATTTGCTAACCGAACAGAACCGAGCAAATATTCGAACTCGCTAACCGAAACCGAACCGAAAATCCCGGTTAACCGAATTTTCGGTTAACCGAAAAAAATCCTACTATTCGCGAATTAACCGAACCGA